CAAAGCGCAGAAACCAGAGACGTGGATTCTCTCCCAAGTCCATCTTTTTTCCATTTCTCAGTATGGATGTTGTAAGATCAAGGATTGAATTTTTTAAAATGTCATAAAGGTATCTATCATTTTATATGTAACCTATGCATAAGATCAAAGGGCATCATATCTAGACCGAGACCACCCAGGTGGAAAAATAAATCAAGAATAATCAGAGAATGTATTTTTATACTTTTCTTTCCTTAAAAAACAATCCTGCACATTTTCCCCAAATATTTCATTTGTCACACAGCTACTAAGTCTTTACAAAATCAAGTTAAGCGCTGCTTTTCCTCCCCTCTTTATGAATAAATGAGAATATTTATCTAATCTTTCTAAGTATAAGGACAGATCCATTAATAAAACCAAAGAGGTACACAGGTTTTTTCACGCATCCTCATCCACCTGCAGCCTGCGCAGCTGCCACTGAGACAACAGTGCCTGGATCAAGCAACTGTAGACTGTGACTCCAGCTCCAACTGAACTGGAATGAGGTGAGCACTTTGCTTTCCTGGGCCTCAGCTTCCTGGAATGCAGGAGTTAGCAAGTCTGAACGTCATCCCTTCCAAAAACCACTGAGGAGAGGGAAGACTATCCAGGGTCTCCCTGCTTTGAGACCTGGCAACTTGACCTTTGCAGAAGAGAGGGCCAGGATACATCTCCCATCCAAAGCTGAGAGAAAGCTGCAGTCGGGTCTACTGAAAAGTCCCGCCTTCTACATTCAACTGGGCTGTCACTGACTTTGGCAGGGGTTTATTCATGTCTTAGCACGCTGTCAGAGGAGCCACTATGTACCAGATGCTGTCACGGAGACACATACATATCTCAGTACCTCTTTTTACTCCTCCTAAGAATAATCCTGTGAAGGAGCTATTCTACCAGTTTTGCACACAGGGAAACTGAGCTCCCAAATTTTGAATGATGTGGCCAGTGAGACGTTCTCTGCACTGAGAGGATTCCGGCCAAAGTCTCCAACCTCAATTCCACAATCCTTCCTTTCCCTCTTGGCTGCCCCAGCCGGTGCCGGGAGCCAGGTTCACCCTCCCCCAGTGGGCAGCAGCCCTCCAGCCTGTCCCCTCAAGCTCCTAGCACCCCGCGGTGCCCTCCTGCTTTCGGCAGGCTACCCTCCTGTTTACCAAGACCAAAACCTCCCTCCGCTGCCAGTTCTCTTCAGCACCTCGCCCCACCTCTGCTCCCCTCCTACCTTTCAAGGAAGCCAGACGCCCGCTTTCTTCTTTCCCTGCACCTGCTCTAGTTCATCTCTGGTCTCTTCCTTCCCAAATACTCCTTATCTTGTCTCTGTTCTCTCCCACTTCTCTTCTGTTTACTAAACATGCCTGGGAGGGGGAATTGGGGAAATCTGAATACACCTTCCCACAGTGCTACCACCTCTTCAAACTACTCTCCTACTATTTTTAACTGGCTGGCTTCTGGATCCGGTGTGTACGCCCCCTCCCACTGCCTGGGCAGTTGCTCTCGCCTTGGTCCCTGGCAACTTGGCTGCCATGACCATCCTTTACAGACAATGCTCTCTGCCTTTCCCATCCTCCTCCTCCTGGGATGCTGGCCCTTCTCAGACACTCCTGCCTGCACCTGTCCGCCCACCTTCCTCAGGGGCCTGCCTGCCTCACAATCTACTTGGTAGTATGGATAAACTTTGAGGGCACAAGAAAGAGGTTAAAAACTGTTGCATCTACAAGCCTGCCCTGTTAAAAGAGATTCCGCCTCTCCTCAGGTTTGGTCCTGACCTTGTGGGGGCCTGTCTTCTTTGGGATGCTTCCCCTTGTGGGTGGTGCAGAAGGAGGGACGTGGGGCCACCTACCAGCAGGAACAGCCCCTCCCACCATAGTCTGTGTCACTTAGGCCCACGTGGTCGAGGCCAGGGGAGAAAGCACAGCTCTGTGTGACCTCGTCCAGCCACCAGCTCAGCAACTTCCGATTCAGGATTGGGACAACCCGAGGCAGGACCATTAGCTGGTGCAAAGGAGTTGGGGGTGTCTGAAGTGTGGCCTCTGACTCCCTCCCTGTCTCACTTGAGGAAGTTGGGGAGTGATGGGTCAAAGCCTTATCTGGGCATGAATAAGATAAGGTCATAAAGAGACAGGCCCAGAGCAGCATGCTGAGTGTGTGCAAATGGGGCTCTGTAGGGCAACAGCCCAAGGGTAGGACTGCCTTACATCTCCTGGGAGAGAGAGGGGCAGAGAGTTCACGGATGAGGAGGCCTTGAGCTGGATCTTGAAGAATAAAGAACAGTTCATCAGGAGGACCCAGGCAGAAAGATATTCCAGGACCTCGCCCTTCCCATCACCACCCCAGAAAACGAGCACTGGAGAGGCTGAGACTAACACAGGTCGGGAGCACTACAGCTCGTGTGTGTGTGTGTGCGCGCGTGTGTGCGTGTGCATGTGTGTGTGTTAGGGGATATGACAGAAAAGAAGTCTGAAGAGGCATAGAGGATTTGGAATTTATCCCACAGACCCTGGGAGCCACTGACAGGTTTTACAAGGACAGACAGTCAGTAGACCCTGGTGACTGATTAGATGTGGAAGAAGTCAAGGAGCAATCTGAAAGGATTTCTCCAGGTTTCTGGTTCATTGAATGTTCAAATTCCAGACTCCCTATTTCAGCCAACTGTGTACTCATGCTCCACACCTGTAGGTGACCTTTGATTGTCCCTCACTCTGAGTCTAAGCAACGCCCAGACTTCAAGTCCATGTCTGATGAGCCTTTCCTTTCTTCCTAGGCTGTGGCCACCCACCAGCTCAGACCTCCATTACGTCCCTGCCACCCACCTTATTACCATAACCTCACCAGGCTCCCCACCTCCCATGTCTCCCTACTCCCAGTTCTTCCTGCAAGAGGTCAGACTAGTCATCTGAAAGCACAGAGCCAACCACGACAATCCCCTGATCAGCAACCCCTACCAGCAGCAGAACTACGTTCCTCCAGGTCCTCGCTCAGCCTCTTCTTCCCTCAGACCCCTAAGAGTCACAAACCTACCTTAGCATCAACCTCGCAGCACGCATCTTTTCTCCAGCTTCTCTTCCAAGAAGCCTTTCAGACCCCCTCAATCAAAAGTGGCTTCTTTCTCCTCCATACTCCCAAAATGTTATATTTAGGTACAGTACCTCTTCAGGTACTGTATTCATTAAATCATCTCTTTAGCCAATAAATCTAGGGTGCGGATACATGCCATGTGGGCACTGGTTTGCATCCTAGCTCCCAGTATATGTATCTCACTTCTCCTGATAGACTGGAACTCTGACAGCAAGGAGGGAGCCTCTCTCGCTTATGCACATCCCCAGGAACCCCTAAGCCCCTGTGCACAGCAAACCACAGGTACTCCAAAAATGGTTGAAATGAATAGAGAACTGATAAGTTTCCTTAAATAGTAAACTGCCTTAAGTGCATGCAAAATCAATTTCAATGATAGAGAGTTAAAGTAGAATTCAGTATTTTTCCAGGAGTGTATTAACTATGTCAAGGGAGGTGCATTTGTATACTTTACCTGGTTCTGATTCTTCTTCTCCCAAAATCTGCCATCCTCCTGCTGCCACATCTGCCTCTACCCCCCAACCACTAGGTGGTTATTAGCGGAGCAGCGCTTCTTGACTCATTCTAATAATGGAAGAAGGAATTGATGAAGCTAGAACTACCACCTACAGCCAGGGATATGTTCTGGGATATTCTATTCTGTCCCCAAAAACAGCCATCCCATAGCACATCTGCCAACCTGTTCCTACTTGGCCTCCACTCAGAAGTCACAGACCAGAAAAGCTGGCCAATAGCAGTACAAGGACCTTAGAGCTCCAGTTCAGAGCAGACTGAGTTGGGAAGGACTAGCAGCTCTGAAAGTCTGGGGCAGGGGGCCAGGGGCCATGGCCCTCAGTAAAAGCAGATCCAGAGTATTACTCTGCAGACACACTCAGCATCTACCTCCACCATGATTCGTCAAGGCAAACACATCCACCAAAGCACCCTACCTCTGTGGGAGGCAAGAGGTGGAGCCAGCTGCAGGAGACAGAGGCAGCTCCTTCCCCCAACACTCCTCCACCTCCAGTCCCAGCACAAGTCTGCAGCTCTGGAATGCCCTCGTGCCTGCCATTCCAGTCTCTGCGACCAGCCTGTGCCAGACCTTGTCCTCTTCATACTCCAGTGTCCCTTATCAAGGTCTCGCACGGATCAGGGCTGCCGAGGACAGGCTTCTGGCAAACTCCAGCCAGGGACCCTGGACCCTCCCCCTACTCAATTCAGCATTGCAGGAAGACAAGCAGCCCAAAGACCTAAAACGTCAATGCAAACCCTAGAGAGCCAGGGAGGGAGAAACGAAGAAAAGGCCGGGTTTGGGGAGGAACTCGACTTCAGAGGGAGAGAAGGGAGAGCTGGATTTCCCCATCCATACGTTCCCTATCTCCCTGGCAGACGCCAATAATTTCACCGAAGATGACCTGGCTCTGTGCGCCTGCCCTCGCCCGGCGCGTCTCTTTCCCTGGCAGGAAGAGGGTAAGAGACGAGGAAGGGCAAGAGATGAGAAAGCGCGGGAGGATGGATCCCAAGGCGTACCTGAGGCCAGAGCACCTGGGCACCTCCGCCCTGAAGGAGGGGATCAGGACACGGTCCAGGGACGGGGATCCTGGTCGCGCGCCAGGCAGGGGCTTCAGGCCCTTTGCTGAGTGTGCCCAGCCGTGCGTCTCGGGTTGTCCCGCTGTCCCTGGCCGATTCTGCCGGGCCCTCTTTCCGCGGCCGCGTCCTCCCCGCCCCCGGCCGGATGCAAGGGGAGTTTGCGCCGCCCAACGTGAGACCGGGGTTCGGCGCCCTGCTCACAGCCTTGCCGGGGCTGAGATTCCTGCACCCGGATTTGTCACTAAACTTTCCAGGGCGCACGCGGTTTCGGGGGTGCCAAACCTCCCCCTGAGGCCCCCACCCATCCGAAATCCCACGTCTCAGCCGCAGCGGGACCGTCGCTTCACCTGCACGCGGCTCGGCGGAGGCTCCGGCTGCTCCTCGCGTCCGGACCCAGGCGCCGCCCGGCGGGTCCCCGTGCCGCTGCCGCCGCAGCTGCCACCGCCAGTGCCACCGCCGCGCCTGCCCGGAGCTGCAGCGCCGCGGTTCTCCCGCAGCCGCGGGAGGAGAAATCCCAAGCGCCCACGGCCCGGCGGGTCCCCGCAGCCGCCACCAACCGCGTCTCTCTGCCTGGGGCCGCACGGACCGGCGCCGGGAGTCCACTCCTCGCCCGGCTCTCCCAGCTGCGCGGCGCTGGGGATCCACCGAGCCTCCAGGATGGGCGGGGATTCCCTGCCTCTGGTAGATTCGAGGGGCGGGAACTCCCTTCCTGGAGTGACAGGAACGGGAGGCGGGGATTCCCCGCAGGAACGACAAGGTGGGCGGGGATTCCCCCGAGCAAGGCACACAGCGGGCAGAGAGTCCCTACGGGCCAACCCGGAGTCCTGGGGCGCTGGCTTCAGAAACCTGGGGATCCTGGGAGGAAAGGATCCAGAGAGATGGCAGCTCAGAATTTCCAGATAGCGGGGCTTGGGGCGCCATCTAGGTGGAAGAGAGTGAGCTAGAGGACTGGAAGTTGCCTTTGCATAGCATTTTACAGAGCATCGAGAAAAATGTCAGTTGCCTTATAATACAAGAATGGGGCGGAGAGGCCAAAGGAGATGGGGGAGATGGGGGAGGAGGAAGCCACCCCAAGCCACCCTTGGCCTCTGGTCTTTGGGATATCAAAGTTAATTTGACACTGGTATGAGAAATTAGAGAATTTCGATAATTTCGGGGAACCTCTTGGCACCTCAGAGCTGCTTAATCCTCCGGTTAAGCCCCTCAGAGAAATCCTCAAAGTCCCGTGGCCCCGGGGTGGTGCTTTTGGTCCTTGTGAGAACTAGCCAAGAGCTGCTCCTGCTGAGTGGACTGTGACAGCTAATGCCAGTCGCCCTTGGCCCTGTTCCAGGTCACTCGAGGAACAGAAGCCTCTGGCTTTTCAGATTCCTCATTCCCGAGGATTTTCAGGACGGCCTTCAAATATTTTGGGGTTTTTTTTTTCTGTCATCCTTGTCATTCTGCCTACCACAGGGAGAGGACGATAAGAACATAATAGGGAGACTGCACAGCTCTGCAAATTAAGCTCCCTTAAGAGGAAAAAGCTGGTCTTTTCCAAGTGCTAGCAGATAAGAGTAAAAAACATGAAAAATTACCAAACCTGGGATAATGAATAGTTGAATAATGCTTTTGACATTTTCTGCAGAGCAGTAATTGGAAATCTTTGCTTTGGGGGGATGGAGATGGGATAGGGCAGGGCTCCACTGCAGCTTTGCCCAGCAAGGCAATAAGCTCTGGTCTCTTGGAAGAGCAGACAGACATAAATCACCTGCACAGATTCAGCAGAGCTGTCCCACAGCATCAGAGGCCAGGGTGGTGGTCCCAAGGCATTCAAGATGATATTTTCACAGGGGTGGGGAAGTACTTGAATTCAGCTGTTCTTCAGCTTTTTAATTACCAGATCACTGAGATCAATGTCTGCACACATCCAACAAGCTATACAAACTTAGGCACCCAGAGTTTCTCTTCCTATCCATAAAGAGGAAAAAATACCTTTCAGGCAGGAGTGTTGCTAGGATTGGCAGTAACAGAACTACTAGCACAGCACTTAGGAGGTGCTCGACGAAATGGCAGCTACTACCTAGAAACGTAGCACTGGAACACCACAAAAATCCTTCTTGAATCAAACAGGACTGGTGATTCACAGTTCCAGTCCCATATTCCACCATTCTCTTCCAATCACACAAGCCATGACGAGGCAATGCATGTCTCCTTTGCCCCTGTACCCAGCACCTGCCTCCTTTAGCACCCACTGAAAATTTGCTGAGTAAATGAATGTGGAAATAAATTTATGATTCAAACCATAAGCACTGCTGTTTCTTACTCAACCCATTCCCACCCCTTTCTTCCAGCCATGCACTCCTCACCTGTGAATTTTGTTTCCTCTGCCAAAGTGACACGCCCATCCTCCTGTGTCTGCTGAAATCCCAAATGGTCAAGTGTCACCTCTTCAGGGCAGGATTCTCTGATCACTGGCACCAACATCAGGATATCTCTCCTCCATTAATCATTGAAATGGGAGCACTTTCTGCAAGTTGCTAATATAACCTTTGTCAGGTTGCATTAAATTGTGGAAATCACACCTCTCACACATTTCCAGCTTGTGAGTTCCTGGAGGTAGAGAACGTAGATCTTATTATTTGTGTTCCCAACACCTAGCACGGCATAGTGTCCGACTCAATAGATATTTGATGAATTAAAATGAGTTGTTATATATATAGATATACATGATAAGATATGCATATTATACGTAGGCACAAATAGTACATATGCATATGTAATATTTTATCATCTCTTGCCTTCAGATGTGGCTCTGCTGACCAACTTAAAATACATACTTCTAGTTTCAATCACTTTTCACCTGATATTTTCCAGATAGTTTTTGGCAAGTTCTTGTTTGCTAATAATAGCTCACCTCTCAAGGGGTCAATCAAATGGATGGAAATTTTGTTTTGCCCTTGCAGACTTGCCAATTTGGAAAGCTCACAGCAGAGGGCATTTATTTTCCAGTGTTTGGAGATCAAAAAGTAAATTCTTTCTGCCCCCTTGTTAAATATTTAGTCACAGATTAGTACTTCTACCCAAGGTGCCATTTTAACGTATTGCTCATTACATACATGATATGGAGGAGGAGGTGGGATATAGAAAATCTAAGTTTGAGTTAGGGACAAAGATTAAAATAATGAACCAAGGGAAAAAACGTATTATCCTGAGCCACAGTTATAACAGAGATGTAAAAGAATGCAACATTCTTTAGGTGAGTCCAGGTAGATTCTTATGGAGGGCAGTGGCACTTGGTTTACCTCTGAGCATTCTCCCCTCTATGAAGAAGAATCTACCCCCACCAGACAGCTAGAATGAAATTGGAAGTTTCATCACCAACTCAGATGAAATCTTGAACATTGCTTTCCATCTTTCCTCCTCAGCTGTTCTTCCAAGTACGTATTCCAGTGGGAAAGAGGAGGAGACTTCGTCAACAACTGGCTCAATTCCCTTTTCCCTCCCAGCCTCTGTGGGTTCATTTTATCTCCATAACAGATTCTAGCTTCCTGTTTACCTAGCTAATTATCGTCCTTTCTTCTGCAAATTCCTGGCCACTAAATCTTCCATTCATGAACTCAGTTGGAATGAGCCGTCCCTTGGCCAAGGAAGGGCTTAAATATAAAGAACAATGATAGTAAAATATTAACTCAGTGGATCCTAATCTGGAATGTATTTAACAGGAGATTCGAAAATTCAGATACCCTGGCCTCACGCCCTGAGACGATGTATGCTGAGTCTGTAGTGGGGCTCTGCATTTTTAACCAGCACCCCAGAGATGGTGACTTAGGTAGCACCAAAGCCTACTTGTAGAAACATGGAAATAGAGTGACTGTAACAATGCAAGTAAGCCCAAGTTAGATCACATTCTAGTATTTGCTCATAGTGGCGACAGATTTTTTTTAAACTTTGATGAAAAGTTTGTCATATTTGTTCTGTCTCAGGCCAAATCTTTTCTTAGCCAATACACTACATTTGATGTATCTTGTTTTAAAATACTTGCTTAGGGGAAATATTTAAGTACCTTTTATCCTATGTATATTGAAAATGAGGAGTTTCACTGCATCCATGAGGATGACATTGGAATTTATGCACGTGTATTTTGTTGTTTTCAGTGTTGTAACAGTAATACTGCACATACAGAATTTATGATTTTCTCCTGGGGGGCTCTGTCATCATGAATATACTGTCTCTCTTCTATTTATTTAGGTGGCTAAACGAGTTTATGTCTTTGATTCAGCCTTCCATTTATACTGTGTAAGTAAGCATTGGTTGCCAGGGTAATTTTTTAATACAGTTTTTGGCAGGAAAAAAAAAGAATCTATATACTAGCAAGTATAGACCAGGTATTCTTATTACTTTCACAATTTATACAGATAATTCAATAATTCTGATCAGTGCTGAATTACCCCATGTGCTTAGGGCAGCAGCAAAACCAGGCGACTAAAAGGAGAGAAAGAGAGTGTGGTTCAGCTTTGATGAATATAACCAGTACTTTGCAATCAGCGTATCAAAAGAGAAGCTATTTTAGTTCCACATACACATAGGTTTTGTTTCCTAATTGGCCAGTGTCTTTATTTTGATCCACACAAGAGAGAGGACTTGGGGTTCTTCTGGGGGTGTAGGGTGTTTATCACATTGGCACAGTTGTAAAAGATATTCCCACTCCTCCCCACCCAAGAGGTTGGGAGCTTGTGTCCCCCAGTCCCTGTTCCCACCTTGTTGCAATTCAGCCAAATCACTGTGTATCTAAATTTGTAGGCTATTTAGGTAAGCTATTCCCTCATTTTGTGCACAATACATTCTCATTCCGAACTCCTATCTCCCCTGCTGATTATTCCCCTTGTTCTGTTCTGCTCTACTTACTTATGAAAAGGCATCATTCTGAGTCAATCACATGCTATTTTTACTCCTTCCTCAGGTACTTCTACTTCCAAAGATCTTCATTCAATAATCACCAAAAAGCAATTATAAACATATTGCTAGTCTAGCTCATCTGTTTTCTTGTTTTGTTTTTTAAATTTTATGTCTTTATGCCTCATTGTCTCATTTGTCAATCTTAGCACCTGTCTTTACTGGTACAGTTAAAATGGACACAGAAATAAAAGGCAGGTAATGATACCCAACCTGAAAAAGCAACAGAGAGCCAGCGCTGTGTTCTATGGCCAATCACAGTAACCCAGTAAGGTGAGGAGTAACCTCTGGCATCCTTCTCTAAAATGGGGATAAACACAGCTGCCTCTAAAGGTCTCATTAGGATTTTGAGTCCCCAGTGACATCATAGAAGTGAAAATGCTTTGAAAAAATTTAAAGGTCTCTTCAAATAAGAGAGGGTGAGAGCAATAGCTCTTTGAATGGTTATTTCAGTTTGTTGTCAATTATACATGAATAAGATGCTTTACCTTTCATCTCAGTGTACATCAGGAATCACCAGGAGTGGTTGATAAGGCTATCAATAAATCATTATTAATGACTTATTTGTATGATGTATGAATTAGTGGACCAAATATAAGAAATGCATTCTGCATCTGTGTTGTGTTCAAGAACGATGAACCAGGCAGTGAAGTCAGTAAAACGTAGAACCTCTGAAGATAGGATACAGTGAACTTGAAAAAGCCAGATCTGATGAAAACACAGTCACTGTCTGTTGGAAAATAT